GATTTTACAACATATTTGTAAAACTTCAAAGGATGTTGGTCAATATTCCAAAAAATATAAAAATCTTATTTTTGAGAGAAATCATCTATTATTCACTATTAATGTTTGGATATAGAAATCCCAAAGGGATGAATATCTAAACTATTATTAGAAATAACTTGTTATTCTTCATTGTTAATATTTGAATAAAGAAGCCCTCAGTGATAAATATCCAAAATAATTTTCTAGAAATAATAAGTCACCACACATTCTTGAAAGAAGTCTTGATTATAATCGAGAACACTTCAATTTTTTTTTTACTTCATGTTTTACAAGCCATGAGAGTTTGAAACACCGAGGTAAAAATAGGCTTTTAAAGCGCCCTGAATTTCTTTAGATTTCTAAATTTTTGTCTCTCTTCATTGTGATTTACGAGTCGCAAAACTCTTGAAAAATACTAAGGGGAAAATGAGCTTTTAAAGCACATGTAATCTCTTTAGATTTCTATCTTAATGAATTTAGTTTGAATCAAATCGAGAAAAAACTGTTGGGATTAGAAAACATCAACATCATAGCAATTATAAAGCAAACTAAACACTAAGCAACTTACTTTAGATAAGGCATATTATGGGTGCTAATAACTTCCCTTTACGCAACCAGTCATTTGCCTTAGAATCTCTAAAATACCAGGTAGAGTTTCTAATGATAAAAATACTAGGTGGCGACTCTAAAGAATCAATCAAGCAAAAACAAACAAAAAAAATCACCATCGAACACCGGGTGGGGGACGTGCGACAAGAGAGAAGAAGGGTTACCTGGCGTGGAGGAGGCAGTACCTTGCTGGTCGGACTGCTATGCTGGCAATGCTATGGTGGAGGTCGGTGGCACTGACGTTGCTTACTGACGACAACTCCAGGCAATGGTGTTACTGTTTCAAGCAACAGAGAAAGATGCTCTTGCTCTTCCCTTCTCCTCCATTTTCTTTCCTCTTTTTTTGCTACGTTTCCTTTTCCTTTTGTTCTTATTTAGATGTGTTTTTCAAATCCCGCTCCTCTTCATGTGTTAGTATCGTTTTTCCTTAACTCTCACGGCCCCTCTCTTTTATCTTTCACAGTTCCTCTTGGTCTATTGTCTCTCCCTTTCAGTTTGTTTTCCTTTTCCACTAACCCTCAACAGTCCCCCTCCTTTATCTCTCACACTCTCTCTTCCCTATTTACGACTTTCCCCATTTTTTTATCCCTTTCCTTTTTGTTCGTTTCTTTCTCTTCTCTCTATTTCCTCTTTTCTCTCTCATCCCTTGCGTTCTGGCATGGAGTCTTTATTTATAGGGCCAAGGGAGCAGGGGCTCTTTATTGCTGTGCATGTGGAGTAGGGTAACGCCGAGTTGGTTCGAAGGCACGACGCCCCTAATTTCTCATCATCAAGGTGTGTAGGGCTTCAGGCTTTTGCAGGACATGCAACACATAGGATTTAGTGAAGAAAGAAGAAGTAAGACTACCTACCTTTCCTTCCTGCATGTCCAAAGAAAGGAGAAAGAGCAACAATGTCGCTTAAAACGACATTGTTCTGCTCTTTTTTCATGAAATGACATCGTTTTATACAAAATACGGTGCCAGCATATTCATTTCTAAATCAGTCCTTAATTTATCCTTTATTTTTTTAAGTCCTCAAAATATAATTTTGTTTTTAAGAATTATTTCAATTGCATCCCTGTTAATTTCAATCACCACCCCTATAGTTGGCCACCTTTTTCATTTTAGTCCTTGGTTTTGAATTTGTATATTTTGACCCTTAATTGATTAATAATCTTAAAATTTCTTCAATTTGGTCCCCGATTCGATCAATTAAAACTCTTTTATTTACGTGCCTCTTCCAATTTGATCCTTGGTTTCAGATTTTCTTAATTAAGTCTCTATTTGACCATTAAACTTCAATATTTATGCAATTAAGCCTCTGATTAAACCAAATCAACTCTTAAAAATTATAATTTAGCCCCAAAACTTTAATTTCTTCTAATTAAAACCCAAAGTGACTTAAAAATCAAATTTTCTTGCAATCCCTTCAATAAAATCCAATTGAGTCCATAAACATTCAATTTTGGACTTTTCTTCTCAAATTGAATTTTCTTTTCCAAAAAGGTTTTCATCATTCAAGAATATACTGTCAAATTAATATTTATATTTTTATCCTTCTTAATCAATTTTTCTGACCATTTTCTGAGCACACTAACCTTTTATTATTTTTTCTAATTTCTTCTGGTGATATATTTTTATTTTTATTTTTATTTTATTTTATTTATTATTTTTTATTTTTATACGGAATTCAAAAATAGATTAGAACAACAATGAAGAAGTGAGGTTTGGCATCCAGTAGAGAGACTGTCAGGCATGTCAAGATAAAGAGACGCACCCTTCATCATTTCCCCGTATCTCAAAATAAGGTTATCTCAATTTAAAATAATATAATTTTTTTATATGCATGTGATTTGAACGAACCGTGGCCTTGAAAATACGTGTCATCAAGTTTGAACTATCTATCCATCTTGTTTCCTGATGTAATGTGCCTTATGAACTAGTTATGGAGGAGCATTTCTTTTATACCTGAATAAGGTAGGTCCCTGAGTACTTTAGACATGGTGGCTCCTTATTAAATATTTAGTTATTATGTTAAAAAATAAAACGCCACCTTAACTTGTGTAAAGGTGTCTCGATCTTTTTATTCAGGCTATATTATTCTTAAATGCTAGTTTTAAAATCGTTGAATTCAAGGAAGGACAATTCTTGTGTCGAATAGAAAATGAAGAATATGTTGTGATTTAAGTAAAGTTGTTCTCTAATTAATTATAATTAAAGAGTTTTATTTCGGTAAGATTATTTGGTGGATATTTCATTGAGATTAGACTTTTTTCCACTGGGAATTATCATAAAGCTCTCACATGGATATTTTCATAAAAATTTTAATATTGTATTTTACATAGCACAAGTAAAACAAACTAATACATTTCACTATACATGTATCGGAAGAAAGAATTGATGAATAATATAATAATCTATTTTAGACCATTTAAAAAATTCAAAAAAAATATATTTTCAAGTGGAAAAAATCTTAGCATAGATTCATCAAATAGTGAAAAATCTTAAGAGAAAATATATAATCCAGTACATTATATCTTGATGTACTGTGAATGACTAATGACTAGAATGATATACCTAGCTGTTTTAATTATTTCTATAACATAACAAGCATCTAATAATAGAAAAGAAAAGAAAAAATTCCCCTAATGAAAGAGACTAGACCACACCAAAACCAAAACCCTGACTACAAACCACCAAAAACCAAAATGAAAACAAGCACAACTCATGAGTTTATAAAAGAATAGGGCTTAAGGCTCAACGCTGCTCAAATACATAATATTAAAAAATATCACTTCTAGTATAATAGTATTTGAGCTGGCTATCCAATACCCCTAATATTGCAAGTCCTATTTGCTCTCTGACAATACCCTTTATCGCTTCCAACAATATCTGGATCACCATCTCTCAAAGCAAATCATTATTTTCAAATTTTGCATGAATTGCCTAGTAAATAAAATCATGTTGTATTTCCCGTGAACATGTAAGAACATGTTTCTATAAATATTCTGGGATTTAATAACTGATTTATTAAAGCCTTAAGAATTTTAATATGTGGTTAGTTGATTTTAATTGCGATTAACTGTGTGTGTATTTTGCAAAGAAAATATAAAAAATGTTTTTTATGTGTTGCATACGACCAATAACCTAACATATTTTGAATGTTATTTTTTGGAAGTTTTGAAAATGTGTTTTTGCATGGATCTCTTAAAGATAAGAATTATTTTTTTGTATTTTTTGGATTTTACAACATATTTGTAAAACTTCAAAGGATGTTGGTCAATATTCCAAAAAATATAAAAATCTTATTTTTGAGAGAAATCATCTATTATTCACTATTAATGTTTGGATATAGAAATCCCAAAGGGATGAATATCTAAACTATTATTAGAAATAACTTGTTATTCTTCATTGTTAATATTTGAATAAAGAAGCCCTCAGTGATAAATATCCAAAATAATTTTCTAGAAATAATAAGTCACCACACATTTTTGAAAGAAGCCTTGATTATAATCGAGAACACTTCAATTTTTTTTACTTCATGTTTTACAAGCCATGAGAGTTTGAAACACCGAGGTAAAAATAGGCTTTTAAAGCGCCCTGAATTTCTTTAGATTTCTAAATTTTTGTCTCTCTTCATTGTGATTTACGAGTCGCAAAACTCTTGAAAAATACTAAGGGGAAAATGAGCTTTTAAAGCACATGTAATCTCCTTAGATTTCTATCTTAATGAATTTAGTTTGAATCAAACCTAAAAAAACTATTGCGATTAGAAAATATTAACATCATAGCAATTATAAAGCAAACCAAACACCAAGCAACTTACTTTAGATAAGGCATATTATGGGTGCTAATAACTTCCCTTTACGCAACCAGTCATTTGCCTTAGAATCTCTAAAATACCAGGTAGAGTTTCTAATGATAAAAATACTAGGTGGCGACTCTAAAGAATCAATCAAGCAAAAACAAACAAAAAAAATCACCATCGAACACCGGGTGGGGGACGTGCGACAAGAGAGAAGAAGGGTTACCTGGCGTGGAGGAGGCAGTACCTTGCTGGTCGGACTGCTATGCTGGCAATGCTATGGTGGAGGTCGGTGGCGGTGACATTGCTTACTGACGACGACTCCAAGCAATGGTGTTACTGTTTCAAGCAACAGAGAAAGATGCTCTTGCTCTTCCCTTCTCCTCCATTTTCTTTCCTCTTTTTTTGCTACGTTTCCTTTTCCTTTTGTTCTTATTTAGATGTGTTTTTCAAATCCCGCTCCTCTTCATGTGTTAGTATCGTTTTTCCTTAACTCTCACGGCCCCTCTCTTTTATCTTTCACAGTTCCTCTTGGTCTATTGTCTCTCCCTTTCAGTTTGTTTTCCTTTTCCACTAACCCTCAACAGTCCCCCTCCTTTATCTCTCACACTCTCTCTTCCCTATTTACGACTTTCCCCATTTTTTTATCCCTTTCCTTTTTGTTCGTTTCTTTCTCTTCTCTCTATTTCCTCTTTTCTCTCTCATCCCTTGCGTTCTGGCATGGAGTCTTTATTTATAGGGCCAAGGGAGCAGGGGCTCTTTATTGCTGTGCATGTGGAGTAGGGTAACGCCGAGTTGGTTCGAAGGCACGACGCCCCTAATTTCTCATCATCAAGGTGTGTAGGGCTTCAGGCTTTTGCAGGACATGCAACACATAGGATTTAGTGAAGAAAGAAGAAGTAAGACTACCTACCTTTCCTTCCTGCATGTCCAAAGAAAGGAGAAAGAGCAACAATGTCGCTTAAAACGACATTGTTCTGCTCTTTTTTCATGAAATGACATCGTTTTATACAAAATACGGTGCCAGCATATTCATTTCTAAATCAGTCCTTAATTTATCCTTTATTTTTTTAAGTCCTCAAAATATAATTTTGTTTTTAAGAATTATTTCAATTGCATCCCTGTTAATTTCAATCACCACCCCTATAGTTGGCCACCTTTTTCATTTTAGTCCTTGGTTTTGAATTTGTATATTTTGACCCTTAATTGATTAATAATCTTAAAATTTCTTCAATTTGGTCCCCGATTCGATCAATTAAAACTCTTTTATTTACGTGCCTCTTCCAATTTGATCCTTGGTTTCAGATTTTCTTAATTAAGTCTCTATTTGACCATTAAACTTCAATATTTATGCAATTAAGCCTCTGATTAAACCAAATCAACTCTTAAAAATTATAATTTAGCCCCAAAACTTTAATTTCTTCTAATTAAAACCCAAAGTGACTTAAAAATCAAATTTTCTTGCAATCCCTTCAATAAAATCCAATTAAGTCCATAAACATTTAATTTTAGACTTTTCTTCTCAAATTGAATTTTCTTTTCCAAAAAGGTTTTCATCATTCAAGAATATACTGTCAAATTAATATTTATATTTTTATCCTTCTTAATCAATTTTTCTGACCATTTTCTGAGCACACTAACCTTTTATTATTTTTTCTAATTTCTTCTGGTGATATATTTTTATTTTTATTTTTATTTTATTTTATTTATTATTTTTTATTTTTATACGGAATTCAAAAATAGATTAGAACAACAATGAAGAAGTGAGGTTTGGCATCCAGTAGAGAGACTGTCAGGCATGTCAAGATAAAGAGACGCACCCTTCATCATTTCCCCGTATCTCAAAATAAGGTTATCTCAATTTAAAATAATATAATTTTTTTATATGCATGTGATTTGAACGAACCGTGGCCTTGAAAATACGTGTCATCAAGTTTGAACTATCTATCCATCTTGTTTCCTGATGTAATGTGCCTTATGAACTAGTTATGGAGGAGCATTTCTTTTATACCTGAATAAGGTAGGTCCCTGAGTACTTTAGACATGGTGGCTCCTTATTAAATATTTAGTTATTATGTTAAAAAATAAAACGCCACCTTAACTTGTGTAAAGGTGTCTCGATCTTTTTATTCAGGCTATATTATTCTTAAATGCTAGTTTTAAAATCGTTGAATTCAAGGAAGGACAATTCTTGTGTCGAATAGAAAATGAAGAATATGTTGTGATTTAAGTAAAGTTGTTCTCTAATTAATTATAATTAAAGAGTTTTATTTCGGTAAGATTATTTGGTGGATATTTCATTGAGATTAGACTTTTTTCCACTGGGAATTATCATAAAGCTCTCACATGGATATTTTCATAAAAATTTTAATATTGTATTTTACATAGCACAAGTAAAACAAACTAATACATTTCACTATACATGTATCGGAAGAAAGAATTGATGAATAATATAATAATCTATTTTAGACCATTTAAAAAATTCACCTAAATTAATCTAGTAAAATCGAGATTTTAAATAAACTAATCAATTGTTTGATATAATCAAATAAAACAAATAACCATTTATTTATTAATGATAAACACATAAAATTTTTAAAAGAATTAAACCAATCAACTTATTGACTTTACTAATTTGAATTAGTCAATAGTTTGAGTTGTTAGAAGGACTATATCGACTATAAATAACTAATTTTTATTAAATATATATATATATATATATATATATATTATAATTGCAAAATCAAAAATGAATTTTGAATATATATTATATAGAAGTTATTATAAGTGCAAAGACACTATAGAATATCAAGCATTGATTATACTCCCATTTATATAATCACACCTTCATGATTTAGCACAAAAATATATATTTTTATTTTCTTTACACTTAAACACTTTCTAATCCTATAAATGTTATCTTATGATAAATTGAGGTACTAAAAATTTTAATTATAATATTTACTCTATTAAAAAAATAAATTACGATAACAAAAATTACATTTATAAACTTTTAAAATTTAGGTAAAAATTCTTGGAATATGTAAAATTATTTTACCAAGAAAAAATCTTGAAAAAAATATATTTTCAAGTGGAAAAAATCTTAGCATAGATTCATCAAATAGTGAAAAATCTTAAGAGAAAATATATAATCCAGTACATTATATCTTGATGTACTGTGAATGACTAATGACTAGAATGATATACCTAGCTGTTTTAATTATTTCTATAACATAACAAGCATCTAATAATAGAAAAGAAAAGAAAAAATTCCCCTAATGAAAGAGACTAGACCACACCAAAACCAAAACCCTGACTACAAACCACCAAAAACCAAAATGAAAACAAGCACAACTCATGAGTTTATAAAAGAATAGGGCTTAAGGCTCAACGCTGCTCAAATACATAATATTAAAAAATATCACTTCTAGTATAATAGTATTGGGGCTGGTTATCCAATACCCCTAATATAGCAAGTCCTATTTGCTCTCTGACAATACCCTTTATCGCTTCCAACAATATCTGGATCACCATCTCTCAAAGCAAATCATTATTTTCAAATTTTGCATGAATTGCCTAGGAGCCTAGCACTGATGTTCATCATGGGTGCCTAATAGTAATAGCACTTAAACTTCCTTCGCCAAACCACGTGCATTGTTGGAAGTATCCACTGAAAAAGACCACCAAACACCATCACGACACACTTAACCATGTGATACTCACAACTACAGCATCATCAAATATAATGCCTTTTGGAACTAAGCTAGAATTCCCTCCACAAATTTAGAATCAATACTTCGTTAGAGAAACTATCCCATATGAAATAAATACAAAGATATAAAATAATATAAAAAGTTGAGAATAAATCATTTATCATAATCATAAACCTTTTAGTCTTTTTAATGTATTTGAGTTCCATCGTTTTAAATTGATAATTGAGTATGTGTTCCATCCAAAAAAGTTAGTCTTGTGATGGGCGATCCCGTCTTAAACATGTTATGTTACTTTATGTTCTTGTATTTATTTCGATGGTTTTTATAACACTTATCTTTACTTGCAAGCCTGTCATTTAGAATTATGAAATAGCTTGAGTTCAATGATTTTTGCTCCGTTGGATCTCTTTGAAATCCTGATATCACATAAAAAAAACTATCTTAAACTAAAAGTTTAAATTGTTGTGAGATCCTAGGAATAATTTTATGTTAACTCTAACAAGAGTATTCTTAGGCCATGTTTGTTTCCCGGAAAGCAGTTTTCGGGAAACCACTTTCCAAACTTTCCTGTATTTGTTTGTCATTAGGAAAGTTGGTCAACGGAAAGCACTTTCCGGTCAACAAAAAATACTTTCCGGTCAACGGAAAACACTTTCTGGTTCACGAAAGTATTTTTTAGTAAAAAACAAAATTGGTTTGATTTTCAGGAAAGTGTTTTCCTTTTAGCTGTGTTTGCTTTCTGGAAAGTGGTTTCCGGGAAAACACTTTCCAAACTTTTTTGTGTTTGTTTTTCAGAAAGTGATTTCTGGAAAATCACTTTCCAAACTTTCTTATGTTTGTTTGCTGTTAGGAAAGTTGGTAAACATAAAACACTTTCCAGTCAAAGGAAAATTTAACTTGATTTTCAGGAAAATGTTTTCCTGAAAAATTTGGGAGGAAAACACTTTCCGGAAGTTGTGAAAAGTTTAGAAATGTCATTATTTGCTGATTATATCAAATTTGATCATCAAATTTTTGATTGCTATATATATATTTTGTTTTGAATATTTATTTTTCAATTTCATTTCTTAAAATTTAATTTTTATATTTACTTTGGTCCTTATTTTTATAATTGTTATTTGCTTTTCTCCTATTATTTTTTTCTTGAAATTTTTTTCTATCAAATTTGGTCCTCATTCTTTTGATTGTTATTTATTTTATTTAAAATACTTTATGAAATGTTAATTATTATTATTTTAATTTCTTCATCTTTTTTTTTAATTTGATCTTTATTATTTTGATTATTATTTATTTTATTTGAGATAATTTATGAAATTATTTTTTTTCAATTTTATTATTATTAAACTTTTTAATTTGTAAGATTTATTCCTTATTATTTTAATAAACTTGAGAAAAATAAAATATTAATAAATTATTTTCCAGTTCATTTTCCATAACATAACCAAACACTGGAAAATGTTTTCCAGTTCATTTTCCATAACACTGTCAAACATCGAAAAATACTTTACTTTTAAGGAATTCATTTTTCTCAGAATTCACTTTCTCTGGAATTCACTTTCTTAAAGGAAACAACTTTCCTGCAAACAAACGGGGCTTTAGACTAGCTTCAAAGTTAACTGAGACTAAATCCTCGTCCTGAATAATTTTAAGGATGCATTTTTTATATTAGTTTGGTAAATTCATAAGAATATCTTCTAGATAAACATTTTTCATGTTAGTTCATGAGCAGCAGTTCCATATTAAAAGAAAGCCAGAAACAGAATTCAAGCTAGTGGTCTGGACTCTTGTGCTTGTTATTTTAATGGATTTCATCAATATCTACAAATCCTTTCGAGTTTAATGCTTGAATTTCACTTATATCCCTCAGATGGGAAAATTATCAATATGCCTCACTTAATGATGCATGGAAAATGCACAAATTTTTTTTTTTGGGTGTGGGTAATTAACCATCAATAGATTTAAAAGCGGCAAGGTTCCTCTTCAAATATATGTTATGAAAAGTACAATAATCCCATTAGTGAATGAGGTCTGCCACTCTTCATATTCAGTTTTATTACAGAAAAAGAACTAATAATCAAAAAACAAATTATTAATTTTTCAATAGGAAAACACTTACTAGTCGCTTTGAAAGGACCTCCACAACAGTATTTTGTTTATCATGCTTCTCCTTCAGCAGAACAATTGTTTTGCTAAGTCGCTTCATCTCTTGTTCTCGAGATTGCAAAGTTTGTCTAGTCCGAACTGCTTCAGTTTTAAAGGAGGCATTCTCTACTTTTAATCGATCGTTTTCTTTCCTTAGCAGTTCCAAGTTTCTCTCGGTCTCCATTTTGTTTCTCTACAAGTGAAAGTTTCTCAGTTCTTTTGCCTTAATGAACCTGAACGAAAAATGAAAAGATCCAGTTTTCTACTCAAAGAGCAATGTTTCAAGTGAACGAAGAATTGCTCATCATCTCATTAAGGTTTTTAGGGGAAATCATTAAACTGAAACTATTTTTTATATATTTTTCCATTAACATGATGCTTCAAGTACACGATTATGATTATTCAAATTACCCATCCACGTTTTCCTTAAATTCATTTTCGCATAAAGACCATGATTTTTATCTAAGTTTAAGTGCAGAGCCTAAAAGGCTCACCTGTATAGGGGCGATTATTTGTCCTAACTAGCATTTTTGGTTGATAATTCTTCTGTAATTTAATAATTAAAATGGATGTAAACATGTATTGACTAAGATATAAACCTTAATCAATAGCCCTACATCTGCACATTACAAAAAAAAAAAAAAAAAGAATAGGCAGCAAAGCCCCATCCAGTGATAATATAATAGGGGAACGCAATCCTCCACTGATGGTAGTTAAGTTCCGTTGAACCTACTCATGAATAAAAAAAAGGCACCTCAATCGTAGCAACACCCTCCTCTTAAGGGTGATGTTGCACATTAGACTACCTAAAGGAGGCCAACCCGAACAAAACATATATGTAAATCAAAACGAGGTAGCCATAATTTTAGTGATTGAGATTTCTATATGAATTTCTCTACAACTTTTTTCAATTTGGAAGTATTATTCTCACTTCAATTATTTTTTTTATTATACTACCATAACCTTTTTTAGCATGTTTCTTTACAAGTCCATAAATTTAAAATATTAACAATTTGCACCCACAATCAAATTAGAATTTAAGCACATTTAAAAGGGGAGCATATCTATTTAACATATATATACATATATATATATATATATATATAAAGGAGAGGTTGGAGCTTTAAATTCTTTAAAAGAGAGAGGAGACAATAGTTTCAATTGAGCTACGAGTTCATTGGAATAGGGTTTGGTACTACATATATGCATGTATATTTTCCATCGTTTTACATATTATTTAGACAAAATTTTCACGATACAAGAATTTTAAGAAAAAACAGGATTCATAATTAATTTGTCATTTGATAGATAAAAGGATAAATGTTGTGCTATTATTGGTTAAAAGACTTCTCAGTAGATAAATAAGATAATAGTTTGTCCATATGCATGGCAAATCGTAATTTAAATGTAAATATATGGTAGAGCTTATAAAAATGCTGATTTTTTCTTAAAAAAAAAAATCACAGAGAACCATCTTCATTGCTTTTCTTCTCACTTTCTCTACTGCTCTCAAGGCGGGCTTCTTTAAAACTTCTTGATCCTTTTCCATTGATCTTTTAATCCCTGAACAATGTTTACTCGCTCTAATTTTGATCATCTTGTTAGGATACTAGCATGCAAACCCGACAAGACAAAAGGTAAGGGACAAGATAAAATGAGAAATGACACACAAGAATTTACGTGGTTCACCCAATTTGGCTACGTCCACGGGCAAGTATAGAAGGATTTTACTAAGTAATGTGGGAATACAACTTCTCTCTAAAAATAGGAGAATAACAAAAATCTCTCTATTATTAGGAGAAAACACCTCACTTACTATCTCACAAATACCTCACAATTTTATAGGATTACTCTCTTCTCACCCTCTCTTCTTTCTCTCTTGTGGTGTATCTATAATGCTTGGATGCATTGCCTATTTATAGGTAAACATCCATGCAAAAGACAAGTGCAAGGTAGGTGACACCAAATTTATGCCTAACATTGTTGACAAAACATTGTTGACAACTTAGGGTGGTTTCACATTCTCCCACTTGAAGACTTTGATGATTTAATCAAGTCTTCACACTTGATCATTTGTGCTTCTTCTATCCATTCTATACTTGCCATCTTCATGCTGCTTACGTTTCTGCTAGACCGTAAGAGGATCTGCACCATATATACTTATCAGTGTTAACCGGTTTCGTTAAAGCATCTGCTGGGTTTTCCTTTATGTGAATCTTCTGAAAATCCACACTTCTATCTTCCACCACTTCGCGAACAAAGTGATACTAAACATTTATGTCTTTTGTTCTTGAATGAAACGCTGGATTCCTTGCAATATGCAAGGCACTTTGACTATCACAATACAAAAGAATATTCTCTTGTTTGTGCCCAAGCTCCTCCATAAGTTTCTTCATCCATATTGCTTCTTTACAAGCTTGTGTAGCTGCTATATACTCAGCTTCTGTTGTGGATAACGCTACAGCAGTCTGAAGTTTAGAAACCCAACTCACAGCTCCTCCTGCAATTATGAACATATAGCCTGTAATGGACTTTCTTTTCTCAAGGTCACCAGCAAAATTTGAATCAACATAACCTCTGATAGTAAATACTGATCCTCCATAACATAATACAGCATCTGAGGTACCCTTGATGTATCTCAAGATCCTCTTAATAGTATTTCAATACTCTCTAGCAGGATTTGCCATGTATCGACTAACTGCTCCCACTACTTATGCAATGTCTGGTCTTGTACATATCATGGCAAACATTAAA